CTTTCTCTTCAACTTCAGCTCATATGTGATCTTCTACATCAAACCTAAGAAACGGCCCTCTCCAACTGATGGGGTGCTTGGGTGCTTGTACTTGTACTTGTACCCCAATTTCTCCCTAGCCGCAGAAACACTATCCCTGACAGTTTTTCCCCAGCCCAAGGACACTGTGCCTAGCAGTTATTCATGCATGGGCCTCAGCACGACCCTTATCTCTCTTCCTGGTACAGCTACACAGAGCTGAGCTGCTCAGGTCCCAGCCCCCAGATCATGTTTCTGGAAGCCTCCCAATTCCTTAGTAGTTCCTGTCTTGTAAGAAAGCTTTCCCTTGTTGCAGAACATTCTCTCATCAAGACAGAGGGAGAGGGGTGCCTTGCCCAGCCCAAGGAGTTTTGTCCTTGGCCAGCCCAAGGACTCTTCCTCTTGCCAGACTCCAAAGATCCATACCTCTGTTATGTCCCTCCCTGTCCGGTATACTCCCTGTACTTTCCCATCCATAGCCCCGAAAGACACCTGCACCTTTGGATTACCTCATCAGTGTCCCTGGCATTTCTTTCCCAATCTCTTTTCCATATAAACTCTAGCTGCATTCTCAGTCTCTCGCAGGATCCTTTAAGAATCCTTGCCCGCTGAAAAGCGTAACAATAAATCTTTGCCACCTTGAATTAAAGAATGCTTGAGTCTGTGAATTCATTCCGGATGACCGGTCCTGTATTCCGGTCTTTGAGGGGTCACAACCTCTCAACCTCTTACACCGCAACACAACTACCTTGTATTTAACTACATTGTATATATTTCTATTTATTAACTTTGTTATGTGTGTGTATATACCTATCCACTTCTTCATCTGAGTAGAGATTATTATATTTTTGTACTTATACTTCCCACACCACAGTGCCTACAACAATACCTGGCTCATAATAAGTGCTTAATAATTAATTATTGATTGATTCTCACGGCTATTACTAGTGAACAATTTTGTTCATTTCTTTTAACCATTTATCGTTAGGGAAATGCCCTTTTGTGCTATCTATATCTGTTAATTATATCAGAGATATTTGATACAAAGATGTTTTTTTCCAGATAACTCCTTCACTTCTTATATTAGATGTATTCATTTTATTGTGCAAAAGCAATTCACATAATAAATATTTTCAATTTTATCTTTTGGAATTGCTTTTATCATTTCTTTGGTTTAAAAAAACTCACACTCATAGCTATGAAAGAGATATAATCTGCTTGTCTTCTAATTTCTTCAGAGTATCATGTTTAACATTCAGATTACATTTCCATTTAGAATATATTGTGGAATATGGCATAAGAAATTGCTTTAAGTATAATTTATGTCAAATTGCTTTCCAGTTTTCCCAGTAATTCTTATCAAAAAGGGAGTTCTTTCCTAGTTAATCCATGTTTTCAGTTTATCAAACACTGGGTTATTGAATTCAATTATTTCTGATTATTCCTTGGCCAGATTGTTCCATCAATCCACTTTTCTATTCTTTAAACCAGTATCAATTTTTTATGATTGTTACTTTACAATAGAGTTTGAAGTCTGAAAGTGCTATTTCCCCATGAATCCTAATTTTTTTCATTATTTATTAATATTCTAGGTCTTTTGTTCTTCTAAATAAATTTTATTATTTTCCCTACCTCTGTAAAATATTCCTTTCATGGTTTGATTTGTACAAGATTAAATCTATAAATTAACTTTCATACCGTTTTCATTTATGTTTTTTGGCATACTCCAGCCATGAGTACCTGATTATTCCTCCAGCTGTTTAAGTTGTTCTTTAGCTGGTTAAGGAGCATTTTGTAATTAAATGTATGTAAGTATTATGTGTTTTTACTTCCAAATATTTTATGGATTTTGTAGTTACTTTGAATTGGACTCTTTCTATTATTGCCTCCAGTATTTTACTTCTACTACCACTACTACTCCACTACTACTACTGCTACTACTACTACTACTACTACTACTACTACTACTACTACTACTACTACTACTACAACTACTGCTAACACTATAGTATAATTAATATTTGTTATTATTATAACAAAATGTTGTCAATTTTATGGGTTTATTTAATAGCCTGTAAATTTACTAAAGCTATTTATTATCTCAATGATATTCTGGGCAAATTCCCTAGAATTTTTAAGTGAGCCATCATGTCATTCAGAAATAGGATTAGTTTAGTCTATATTCTTCTATCTTTCTGTCTTTAATTTATTTTTCTCATTTTACTGCTAGCGTTAACATTTATGAAATAATATCACAAAACATCTGTTTTCCTATGTTTCTGGAAAAGTTGTTAGTGCATCCCCATTACACATAAAGACTGCTTTGGGTTTTAGATAGACATTTTTATTAGATTATGAAAAGAATCTTCTATACCTATAATTTGAGGGTTTTAGCATAAATGAGTGTTGTACTTTGTCAAGTGTTTCTAATGTATCTATTGAGATAAACACATTATTTTAGGTGTTTTGTATATAATATGATTAATTATACCATTGTTTTCCTATTAGTGAACCATATGTGCATCTCTGACAGAGATCCAACTTATAATGAATGCTTTCTTGACTAAAGGGCTGTAGTCTAATGGAGAAGATTTTATTTATATTCTCGTTCATTGATGATATTGGCTTATAGTTCCTTTATTTTTTTCCTTGGTTTAAGTATTAGGACTATATTTATCTAATAAAAGGAGTGTGGAAGTGAATTCCATTTTTCAGTTTTTGAGAACTGTTTTTCTTCAAAAGTTTAATAAAAAATTCCTGTAAATCTCCCTGGTCCTGGGGTTTCTCTCCTCTTTGACCTTCTCCCAACTTTGGTAGTTTTATTATAATTCGTAATGCTTACTTTTCTGACATTAGGTTATCTAAGGTCACTATTTGGTATTGTTATTTTGAGTATTTAATACTTTTGAATGTAATCCTCATTTTCTTTTGTTAGTATATACCTGGGCATAAGAAAGTCTGATAATTATTTTGATTCTTTGTAGTCTTATTATGATTTCATCTTCACATTTCGATTTTGTTGATTTGATGTTCTGTTAAAAATTAGTTTGGCTAAAATTTTTGTAAGCTTTTTTCATCTTTTTGAAGAACTGGCTTTTAATATTATCAGTTTGTATTCTGGATTTCTAATAGATGTATTTCTCCTCTAATTTTTAAGACCTACTCTTTTATATCTAGTCTGGGCTTACATATTTGTCATCTTCCTAATTTTTAATTTCACACTTAGTTCATTAATCCATTTTTTAAATTGTGTTCATCTATTTTTTATTTTTAGATTTTATTTTTAATTTATGGAATAAAACAAGCATTTCCATAACAATACAATAAAAAAGACGATCATACATGAAACTGTAAATCTACTATACACAACTTGCTGTTCCTTTCAAATATGTAACAAAATTATCATGCGCCTTTACTTCTTTTGTTTCTTCCTTCCCCTCTGCACCCTAGAAATGGCTACCATTACACACAATGAGGCTTATATACATAAAATTATTCTATACATACTTCTATTTATCAGTTCTTGCTCTGGATGCAGATAGCAGCATTCTTCATGTGTCTTTTATACTTAATTTGGGTATTTATAACAGAAAAATAACTTATTTGCTCAAAGTCATTCTTAAAATAATATTGCTGTTCCTATATACAATATTCTCATGGTTCTTCTCGTTTTGCTCTTCATTATTTTGTGCAAGTCTTTCCATGTTTTTCTGAAATCACTGAGCTCATCATATCTTTTTTTAAATATATTAATTTATTTTGATTTATCAGCAATCACTTCCATAAGCTTTTGAGTTTTAAATTTTATGCCCCCTCCCTCCTCACCTCCTTCCCCAAGATGGCACCCAATCTGATATAGGCTATACATATTCCTATTAAACATATTTTCACATTAGTCATGTTATAAGTAAGAATAAGAACCAATAGGAGGAACCACCAGAAAGAGGTAATTTTGGAATTTGGCTACTATATTCCTTCACATTTTTAATTTGGGATCTCTTTCAGGAAGTGATAGGTGGATTCTTTCTATGGCTATTTTACTCTCTGGTTCTAGGACTTCAAGGCAGTTTTCCTTGATGACTACCTGAAAGATGCTATCCAGGCTCTTTCTTTCATCATGGTTTTCAGGTAGACCAATAATTTTTTAATTGTCTCTCTTAGATTTATTTTCCACATCACTTGTTTTACCAATGAGGTATTTTACATTTTCATCTGTTTTTTCATTCTTTTGTTTCTATTTGACTAATTCTTGCTCTCTCATAGAGTCATTAGCTTCCACTTGCCCAATTCTAATTTTTAACAAATTGTTTTCTTCTATTAGATTTTGTACCTCTTTTTCTATTTGGCCCATTTTATTTTTAAGGAGTTCTTTTCCTTAGTGAGTCTTTGTACCTCTTTTTCTGTTTGGCTAATTCTGCTTTTCAAGGAGCTGTTTTCTTTAATGTATGTTTTTTTTTTTCCAGTTGGCCAATTGTGTGCTTTAGACTTCTTTTCTTCAGGGTACTTTTTTTTTTTTTTTGCATTTGGCCAATTGTATTTTTTAAGTACTTGTTTTCTACAGTTAACTTTTATCCTTCCTTTTCCAAGCTATTTACGCTCTCTTGCATACTTCTTGTTTCTTTTCCCAATTTTTCTACTACCTCTGTTATTTGACTTTTAAAATCCTCTTGAGTTCTTCCAAGAAGGCTTTTTGGGCTTCAAACAACTTCAGATGTGGGCTTGTTGACAATGTTGTCCTCTTCTGAATTTGTGACTTGATCTTCCCTGTCCCCATAATAAGAGTCTATGGTCATTGTCCATTTCTGCTTTTTTGCTCAAGATATTTGCTTATTCTGGCCTTTAAAAAATTGACCTCTCCTAATGGGGAGCAGGGGGCACTGACCCAAGCTACTTGTGTTGGGAGCCCAAGGCCTGGTTACTGGCTTTGTGTGCTGGGGCCTCAGATGCTGGTAGTTGGAGGCTATAAGATTATGGCAGCTTACCTGGTATTGAGGTAGAATCAGCAATACTGGAGCTGTAGGGGTAGGGGTGGGGAGTCTGGCCCCTAGAGGATGCCTCCTCACCCAAGCCTTTCACTTTCTTTGGCTTTTTGCAGATGGATGTTGCTGCAGTATATTTCTCCATCTAGGCTTTCCCTCTTGGAGTTGTGTTCCCCAGAGTTTTGCTGAGGAACCAAGAGTCTTGGCTGCCAGAGAATGGTCATGGCACATGATGGTTTTCCAAGGCAGTTACCACTGGTTCCCCTGCCTGTATTGAGGCATTTGGGTGTCCTGGTGTTGGAGCTTGCCTGCTCCACCAACTAGAGTTCAGAATCTCCTCCAGGAATGTCGAGGTAGGGGCTTTCAGTTAGCTTGCTGGAACATCTCCCATTCTGTACAGCTACCCCTCCCCTAGGGCAAGAAGGGCCTTTACCCTTAATTGCTCAAGTTTCCTGGGCTACAAGACTGCTGCACCCCATCTTTCTGCTGGTTCAGCTGTTCCAGGGTTTTTCCTGGGGTGATATTATCTAGGATCTCAGAGGTTAATTAAAGGAGGGTGAGGGTGACTTACTTCTTACTCCACAATCTTGGCTCCCGGAAGCAGAACTGAGCTCCTTATTTCTTATAGCACAATAGCATTCCATCATAATCATATACCACAATTTGTTCACATATATATTAAGGGATTTTTCCCTTCAGAAAATTTCCTTAGCTGCATTCTGGACATTTAGGTATTTTGTATCATCATTATCACTCTTTCATATAACTATAGGTTTTATGATTTGTTCTTATATCTATACCTGTTATTCAGGATTTTACTATTAAGTCTTCATTTAGATTTGTGTTATTTGTTCATTCCCTCAATTGATTAGTAATTTTAGTAAGATATGGTCTCTAAGAGATTTATTTAGGATTCTTTCCTTTTTACATTTATTTGAAATTTCTTTGAGCCCTAATATGTGATATATTTTTGTAAAAATGCCATGTGGTACTGAGAAATACATATGTTATATGTATATACACATATATCATATGTATTTAATTCATATATATGCAAAAGGTGCCATGAAAATGTTTGGTCTAAATTCAACAATTTGTTCAATTCTCTATTTTTCTTTTTGTTTATTTTTCTCTTAGTTTTGCTCAATGATGAATATTAAAGATTCCCAGTATTACTGTGTTGCTAACCTGTATTCTTGCAATTCATCTAATTTTTCTTTTATAAATTTGTGTGGTATGTATTTGGAGCTTATGTGGCTAATATTGATACTGTTTTGTTGCCTATCCTTGTACTATTATTTAGTTCTTCATGTTTGTAGCAGTTGTACCACAAGCTAGACTTAAAGTTCTTAAAGGTTGGGTATGGAATCTTACTACAAAGAAGGAAGAAAAGAAAGAAGGAAGGTAGGAAGGAAAGGAATAAACAATTATTAAGTACCTACTAGGCACTCTTGTCAAGCACTGTGAGAATATTATTTCATTTGATTTCACAGCAACCCTGAGAAGTAGGTGCTATTATTATCTCCTGTTCATAGTGAGGAAATGGAGGCAAACCGAGGTTAAATGACCACTCAAGGGCCACTCAGCTAAATAAGTATCCATGACTACATGTTTTCCTGGCTTTGGGCCCAGAATTCTATCCACTGTGCCATCCAGATGCTTCAGAAATATCTTATAATAATTTGTCTTTCACATGCAAAACCACACACTAGACATTGTAAGGTATATGATAAATATTTTATGCTAGATTTATCATATCTGTCCTCCTAAAATCCCTAGGAAGAAAAAAGCATAGACATTAATGTCTGTTACAGATTACAAAGTGAGGAATATAGAATTTAATAAACATTTTCAAGGCTACAATAGTGGCAGAGTCCTATATCTTCAGTATCCAGAATATTTGGCCAATGCACATTCAGTTTAACCATTAGCCACAAGAGGATATGTTTACAATTATTTGAATTTTTAAAAAATTATCCTAATTTGCTTATCTAAGACATAATCACATGGTAGAAGTTTTCAAAAGAGAGGAGGTAATTGATCAATTGCTGACAGCATAAATCATTCATAGGAATTAGTTCAGACAGTGCCTAGTTCATTTAGTATATTCTTGACAATGAAGTAAATTAATTTGCTGCCTCTAATAAACCTTGTTCCAATTTAGTGAATCTGTCATCTGTTATAAAATATCAGTGTTCTGTAATGATCCACCTTATCTCAGCATCCCAGTTTTCTGAGTTATTTGCCTGCTTTGAAAAGAAAGTCTACACAACACTTGAAGGTCATCAGAAAAAGAGTCTATATGAGGCATCCTGTTTAATTCTCCAATCCATGAATAACAAAAAAGGGTTGCCATAAATTCACAGTCAAGACTCAGGTCTTCTGATTTTATAAACTGTGGTAATCTTTCCACTCTAATGCATTACCTCTTAGGACTCAGTCCATCCAGGGCTTAAGAGGAGACAAACTGGACATGAGTCACCAGACTACATCTCCTATATGTGTATATCTCTGAGAGACATGAAAAAAGTCAGAATGGTAAATTTTAGGTAACTTGGCTTTATTGGTGATACACATGAGTAGTGTACTGGCTAGCCAAAATATTTATTAAGGGCCTACTATGTACCAGGACCTACACTGATACAAATATAGAAAGACAAAAAAAAAAACAATTCCTGCCCTCAAGGACCTTATATTCTATTGGGGTTTAACATGTATATGTGTGTGTGTGTGTGTATTCATGCATGCTTACATACATAAATGCACACATTAATTAAATTAATTGGCAAAAGGCACAAGTACCTTGGAGTTTTAGGAATGGCTCCATCAAGAAGATGGCATTTGAGCTGTGTTTTGAAGGAAGCTATGGATCTTCAGAGGTGAAGGGGAGAAGAAAGTACTTTCCATGCTCAGGAGAGCACTTGTATATGAGATGGGAGATGTAATATTACTTGTGAGAAACATGGAGTCACCAGTTTAGCAGGATTAAAGAGTGTCTGAAGAGGAGTAATGTGTCATAAGTCTAGAAAGATTGTAAAGGGCTTTAAAGGCCAATAAAGTTTGTATTTGACCCTTGAGGTAATAGGGAGTCATTGGAGCTTACTATAAAGGGAATTGATATACTCAGCCTTATGCTTTAGAAATATCATTTTGGCAGTTATGTGTAGTAAAGATTGAGAAAGGGAGAGAATGAAGACAAGGTGACAAATCAGGACCCTATTGCAAGGATGATAAAGACCAGAACTAAAGTGAGAAGCATATAAGTAGAAAGAAGGGATTAGATGTTCAGTAAATTGTCAATGGAAAATCACTGCGATTTGAGAACTGGCTGGATTTGTTAGAGTAAGGAGTTGATTATGACTCCAGAATTATAAAACTGGCAGAGTAGAAGGATGGCAGTATCCTCAAAATAAACAGGAAAATTTGGAAGAGGAATATATTTAGAGGAAAAGATAGTGAGTTTTCTTTTGGAAATGTTGAATTTTAGATGACTACCAAACATGCAGTTTTCAGTGCCCATTATGCAAACTAGGAAAGCAAGGAATAGTTTACCAATCAGATTTATGTATAACAGAAGAATTCATGACCAAACAGAAGACATAGAACATTACAAAAAGCAAAATGGATAACTTTGGTTACATTAAATTGAAGGTTTTTGTACAAACAAAGCCAATGCAACCAAGATTAGAAGGAACATAGAAAATATGGAAAGAATTTTTACAACTAGTCTCTCTGATAAGGGCCTCATGTCTAAAAAATATGAGAAAATTAAGTCAAATTTATAAGAATACAAGTCATTCTCCAATTATAAATGGTCAAAGGATATGAACAGGCAGTTCTCAGATGAAGAAATTAAAGCTATCGGTATATAGTCGTATGAAAAAATGCTCTAAATCACTATTGATTGGAGAAATGCAAATCAAAACAACTCTCAGGTGCTACATCATACTTCTCAGATTGGCCAACATGACAAAACAGGAAAATGATAAATGTTGGAGAAGATGTGGGAAAATTGGAACACTATTGCATTGTTGGTGGAGATGTGAAATGATCCAACCATTTTGGAGAGCAATTTGGAGAGCCACAAAAATGTGAATACCCTTTGACCCAGCAATAGCATTTCCAGCGCTATATCCCAGAGAGATCATACAAATGGGAAAAGGACCACAAAAAAATTTAAAGCGGCTCTTTTTGTGGTAGCAAAGAATTGGAAATTGAAAGGATCCCCATCAATTGGGGAATGGCTGAACAAGTTGTGGTATATGAATGCAATGTAATACTATTGTGGTATAAGATATTATGAACAGGCTGACAGAAAAACCTGGAAAGATGTATATGGTCTGATGCTGAATGAAGTGAGCAGAACCAGGAGAATGTTGTACACAGTAACAGCCATGCCGTGTGATGACTAATATTGATAGTCTTAACCCTTCTCAGCAATACAAGGATCTAAAACATCTCTGAAGGCCTCATGATGGAAAATGCTAACCACATATAAAGAAAGAACTATGGAGTCTGAATGCAGATTGAAGCATACTATTTACTATTTTTTCTTCCATTGTGTTTCTTTCCATTGTGGTTCCTCCTATTGGTTCTAATTCTTACTTACAACACCACTAATGTGAAAATATGTTTAATAAGAATGTGTATGTATAGCCTATATCAGATTGTGTGCCATCTTAGGGAGGGAGGTGGGGAGGGAGGGGGAGAAAAATTTAAAACTCAAAAGCTTATGGAAATGGTTGTTGATAATTCAAAATAAATTAATTAATAATAAAAAAGAAAATTATGTGAAAATATGTAAGATGTAGATTAAACTTTAAAAAGTGTCATGGGTGTATTTTTCCCCTGGAGAACAAATTGTTAAACATTTACCAGAAGACCAGTGACTGAACTGCTCTAGTCTAGACCAAGTACACACACTAGCCTTTGTGTACATGTTTGTAAAGCAATAGTGAACACAGGAGAAATATGATTGTAGGTATACAACTAATATGTTGGTAGAAAGATGATTAATTTTTTGGCCAAAGCAAGGGTTGCAATTTGAGCCTCACCGATAAAATAACGAATTCTCTAAGCATAAAAATGCACAAAAGCCGGACATCTTCAAAGTAAGGTATACAGTATACATACATCCAGGGATGG